TTTGTCTTTACAGAAAACAAAAACAAAAATTAGTTTGGCATGGTGGCTCCTGTCTATAGTCCCAACTACTTGAGAGGCTGAGCTGGCAGGATCCCTTGGGCCTACAAGGTTGAGGCTGTAGTGAGCCATGATTGCACCTCTGCTCTCCAGCCTGGGTGACAGAGTGAGACCCTGTCTTTAAAAAAAAAAAAAAAAAAGTGAGTAGTAATATGATGTTGTGTGAAGTATATCATATATAAGACTTGAGAATTTTAGCTTTCACATATTGTGATCTTGGACAAATCATTACACAGTCATCTGGTAACTTTTTTCTCACTTGAGAAACAATGAGGGTAACTTAGTAATTTCTAAGGCCCAGTCTAATTCTAATAGTCTCTGATTGTTAATAATCACACCCTAACTTGTATTGTTTTGTATATTCAAATTTTGGAGTTAAAAGTTCTCAAAATTAAGTACACTGACATGAAGCTTCTGCCTGGGGACTGTCTCTTTTGGATTTTGTTCGTATAGGTTGTCCTTAATGACCTGGAATTGTTATAACAGCTGTCAACTGAGGTAAGCTTCACAGAAGGGGAGCTGCCTTACCTCCAGACAGGAGCTTTTAATTTCTTATTTTTGGAAATAACCGAAAGCCAAGAGGGCTCTTCTGAAAGTGAAACAACAGGCCGCCCCAAGGCCCTGGGAGGAGAACAGACCCGGTGCTGAACGGGGATATTTGAGAGGAAGTCCTCTGAGAAGCAGAGACGGCGTCAGCCTGCTCTTTTCTTCTGTAATTAATGGGGAGTCCCTGGATCTTTGTATTAGACCCTTTAATTTAAGGGTTGCTAAATGTTTTACAAACATTAATTAATTCAGTTAGACTTTGCACCACCACCTTGAGGCAGGTAATTCCTCTTTGGGATATTGCATCTTTGCTTGCTACCACAGACTATTTTAGAGCAGATTAGGATAATTATTAATAACCGTAAAGCCTTGAGTTCAGATAAAGTTCTATAACAAAAGGTTTCAAGTACTTTACAAATACAAGATTTGTGTAATGAGGACTGAGGAGGAAGATTGAGCCAGTTTATTGCCAATGATGACAAAGCAGAGATATTGCACTTGTTTTGGGTTCCTCTCCGTGCTAAAGACACATGACCTTGAACAGCTCTTTGTGACCTCTTTATGACTCAGTTCCTACAGCTTTCAAACAGGGGCAATGATGTTACTCACCTCCCCAGTTCACAGAGATGTTGCAAAAAATAATATTTGTAATATGCTGTGAGTTCTCAGATGAAAGACAGAAGTTAACATATAATGAAACATTATTACCATTTATCATCACACAATCTAAATGGGCCAGACAAGTAAGCATCAGCATCCCCACGGTCCTGGCAGAGAAACCGGTCCTGCCATTATTTCCATTGAACATCTATTCTAGACGCTCACAGAGGTTGAGAACTGCTCAGAGCAACAGGCATGCTCCTAAGATAATCAAAAGCAAACCAAGATGCCGCGTCAGCAGAGGTAGCTCAGTATTGATCCTTGGTTTATTTTCCGTTCCCATTCTTATTTGGGAGAGAGTATTTGAGAGAAAATCAGTTCAGGGAGAGAATCAGAGAACGAATGAAGAAACTTTTCCTCTTGGACATTCCTCTCAATTCTAAGGTATCACTATATGTGTATAATTTATAGCCCCCAGAATGGGCTGTGTGAGAGCCCTCGTCTGTGCCATTGTTCTCTGTCTCCTTTGTTAATAATGCTGTATTTATCTAGGCCAGCATAAAACTCCTATCTTTGTGAGGGTTTCCTGGCCTAACTCTCTACTTGAACTTCCTCTGTCACTCTTGTGTAATTAGCATATTATATGGAATTTATATTTTGGTGTTGGTCTTGTTTCTTAATGGACTTAACTTTTTGGGGGCATAATTTATTAAATGTCTCTTCTTCATCTGTTACAGATCTGGGTATACTGAAGTTAATTAAACTCGTGTTAAATGAATTAGTGAATGGAATCCTTCAGGAAAATGTCAAGATTACAATGTAGACCACACCAAATCCTCATCTGCCGTTCTTACTAAGCCACATCACAACCTGTGAGGCACACAGAGTATAGAATAGAAATATCGAACAGGCACAATTAAGGAAAGAGAGGCTGAATTCAAGAATACCTTTTCAAACAATGTTCCAAAGAGAAATAGAAGACTAACTTAGAAGGTTCAAGAAAACTGTCTACATAAATACAATATTGCATAGAAGGACCGAATTGCTTTGGCACCTGATTCCTACAATATGAGTGCACAGGCTGATCAGGAACCATAGGGATATTTATGGAGTTCAGTTTGCCTTCCATGTTATTGTCACTCTGTGCACTAAGCTCAGACTCAGCCTGGCATTCAGGACCTCCGTGCATGGCGTTGGTCCGTATGTCCCTGCCACATGTCACTCCCCTCTTCTTCCTTCGTGCATCCCGTGCTGCAGTGGGGCTGATGGACTTGCTCTCAGCATGACCATGTGTTTCTCCCTCTGATGACTCCCTTGCTTCAAATGCTCTTTCCTGCGGCCTCACTCTTTGTTCGAGCCTCAGCATCTCCACCTGTTGAAGCCTTTTTTGACTCTTTCCAAGGCCTTTCTCAAAATGCTTCCTTCACAAAGAGGCTTTTCTGGTCATATACATGCAAGCCTCTTTGCAGAGCACTTTGGTTGTGCCAAATAAATGTGGAGAAGAGGTATTAGTCCCGTAACTAGGATCATAGATTGGGAGAGCTGCATTGCCTAGGTCCGAATACTCATTCTGTCACTTACTAATGGTTTGAATGTAGGCGAATTACTTAATATCTGCACCTGTGTTTCCTTGTCTGTCAAATAAGAATGATCAGAAGAGTATCAACCACAGAGGCTTTGTCAGGATTGCACGCAACAGTGAGTGTAAACTGTTTAGAATTGTGCCTCATATCTGGAAGTGTTCGGTAAACGTTTTCCTTGCTTTCCCACACAACCTACCCCTGTTTCTGGATATGCTTATGTTTGTAGACCAAAAGCACTAAATGAGGGTGAGTGCTGTCCATAAGTAGTGTTGCCATAGATCAAATCTAGATGTTTTACCAATAGAACTCCCAAGGAGCCTGAGGGAACTCTGTCACTACTAGAGTCCTCAGCTCTACTGAACCAGGTTGTGGATAATAATTTTCCACGGACACCTGATTTTTATAAAATCTTTTAATGTTCATAGGGACTTACATATTTTCCTTTTCAAGTTTGGCTTAAATATTGTAACAGCATGACCTGATTTATTTGATGGGGTAAGTTTGTGTACAGTTTCTCTAGCTCTTAATCAGTTACACACTCATCTCAGTCTCACAATGGTGCATGAGTTACCAAGGGTATTCAGGAGCCCAGCCAAAAGAAAACAGTGCAAATATTGCCAGTGATAAACAGGAGAATGAATTCCTTCTCTCTCACGTGCCCAGGAGCACTGATATAGTTTCGCCACGTCACATACTAACACTCCTCAACCTCCATCAGTTGAGATGAAATTTGGAATATGCATGTTTTATGTTTTTTTCTGTACTGAATATATAATTACTGCCTAGTAAGGCTGTTAAATGTTCAGTTAGGTTTTTTGAGTTATAATTTTTTATTGAGGTATAATTTTAAAATTTATTGTATCTTTTCATTGAGATATAATTCACATTTCATAAAATTCACCCTTTTAAAGTATACATTTCAATGAGGTTTAGTATATTCACAAATTTGTGAAGCCATCAGTAGTTCTAGAACATTTTTATTGCCCCCCCCGAAAAGAAACCCTGCACTCCTTATATTTTGACCTTGTGATAAAATGTTAATTTTATTTTCATTTATTTGGTTAAATTGTGGTAGCAAATTTTTGAAACCAAGAGAACTATATGTATGTATACACACACACACACACACATATACACATACATACATATATATTTTGTAATTACTATTACAATGGGTTTACTTAGCTTACTTTTTATGTTTATCTTATACTTTACTATTTGCTCAAGGTTTTAACATACAACATACTCACACATACATACACATGCACACATTGATCTTGGTCACATTAGGGCTGTTTGGGTCAGGTTGGAGATATCATTGCCATGTAGCTTGAGAGAGAGACAGTGGGCATGGTGAAGGTAAAAATAACTATCTTTTGTTGAATACCTATTATTCCCCAGGCACTCTTTCTTAAAAATCTGTTTGAGGACATATGCTCAATTATCATCATCTTTATGTTACATGTGAGCAAATAGAGGCTAATGGAGTTTGTATAACTCATTATATCCCAAAGTAGCACAACGACCACGTAGTACAGTCCAAATTTGAACTCAGGCCTTCCGACTTTAGTGCATATGACCTTAACCACTGTGTGCTACCACCTACTGTTAGTTTAACAATCCTAACAGCACTTGATCGGTGCCGTACCATGTACTTTCACAAAGATCTCACTCCATTCTCTCAACAGTCCTGTTGGGTGGTGCCAGAGAAGAAGAGCCAGTTCCTATAGTTAAATGGTCACATAGCAAGGCCAGTGCAGACAAGCAGCTGGAATACAGGTATTTTGCCGGAGCTAGGGTAGCGGTGTGTTTCTCTACACCACACTGGGACTTCTAACAGTTATCTTAGGCTTCTGTTCCGGCTCTTATAATAACAATCCACTTTCTATCATGTTTGTTTGGAAGTGTGAATCCCTACATCAACACGAGGATAGCAAATATGACTTAACTTTTTTAGGTAGTCCCTGTGCTCAGGCAATGTTTATTGAATAAATGTGTAAGAAAATTTTAAAAAAGAGTTTGACCATGTAGTCATTTGAATATTTTAGTTCTAGACTTCCTTAAGTGTTGAAATATCAGTATTTTAGTGATGTTTGATGTTACCTTTGTTCTTTTTCTACATGTGTTTCAAAAAAGTAAACTTAATTTCACATACACTTTAAATAGAATGTTTTTTGCATATACCAGGAAATGTGATTACAAATACCTTTTGACGAGGATGAGTGATAATTTGTACCTTTTGTAAGCAAACTGAATGAGAGTACTATTAGAAACCTATGGATTGAAGCCTTCATTCATCAGAGAAAATCTGCGGCTCTGTGCCCTTCCTCTCAACCCAATTCCTTAGGTCCTCTGAATACAGCAGTGACCTGGGAGTTCTTGCATCTGCTCCTGGCTCCTGAGAAGGGTCCTGCCAACTCTGTATTGTCCTGTTGGATTTGCAGTCAGAAGTCTGAGGCTGGCAGGCACTGGGCAGGCAATGAGTTCTTTCCCTGTAAGTTGGGCACAAAAAGATCGGCATGGGAGCAGCCTCCTTTGAGACAGCTGCTCTGAGAGGACGCAATAAGCAGGGAGCAGCCAGAAATTCCTCCTAGCAGAGGGTGACTTGTGGGAGGAGTCCAGTTTGCCAAGTATTGTCGTTTGTTGAGAGAAGGTGTGTGCTCAAGGAGGAGTTTTAACCTGGAGGATCATTAACTGTTTTAGTCGGCTGAGGAGGTGCGGTGGCTCAGTGGCTCGGCGAGTTGGAGTTTGTCCTGGAAGCATCTGCCCGGCAAGGTCAGGAAGGAGGTGTGGAATCACTTTTTCATGGGACACTTTGAGAAGGGCCAGCACGCTCTGCTCAATGAAGGAGAAGAGAATGAGATGGTAAGATTCTAGCCACATTCCCTTCTTCCCATCCCACTCCTCAGCCTGCGAGACACACACACACACACACCACACACACACCACACACCACACACAGACTTCTCTGCAATTTCACTCTGGCATTCCATGAGAAAAGGTCATGTTTAAGAAATCTCTCTACCCTGTAAATATAACCTCTGACAGCAGAAATTTGCCAGAATGAAAATATTGTATTTATCTGTCAATAATGTTTTCTTTTGAAAGAAAACAGAGAGGAGAGAAGCACCGTGCCACTTTATGATTCTTGTTTGAGCCTCAGTGGTATAGCCAGTTCTGTTCAAAACACCTAACAATTTTAGGAAATCCCTAATGTGAGAAGCAGGGCATTCCCTGATAGGAAGAAGCAGAAGTGCCGCTAGGTCTTCAACCTTCTCTTCTCACATACCTTGTTCACTGAGTCTGTTGGACAGGGAAGACATGCAATATTAACAATTATCAGCCTATACACATTTCTATTTTCTTCTAGAATTGTACTTTTGTGGCTTCCTCATTATAGAGATTGGTTACAGAAAACTTTCAGTAGTTTGTTATCTCCTTTGTTTTAGATGCACTCCTATCTTGAGAACTATAGGAAAATCCAAGATGACTCATGCTCAGGATGAATTTAAAACTGTATTTCTCAATTACAGTGTAATCAAGAGAGAGTCAGAAATGTGTACTTCTGTTTAATAAGGTCTTTCTGCTAATTGTGTAAGCATAGTCTTTTATGCCAGTAATGATGTAATTAAAATGTTAAAATGTGATGCTCTCATTCAATAATAACATTTCGTCTTCCTGGAATTAATATGTAAATAACAAACCTGAAAGATATTTACTTAAAATGTTTTTCTTGGTTAATTGCTTTAGCCCTGACTATTAAATTCTTTGTTCCTAAACTGGTCTTTCAAGTCTAATCTGCTTACCTGTTCCTATAGCAACAACATTTTTTGGACTTTCAAGAGTAGATCCCTTCTGCTATCAAAGCTGAAGGAATTATAAAGAAGTAAAAGGCACATTAATTCAGGTGCCTTTCTTAACCATATCCTTTACTTCATTCAGATTTGACTGCCCAATGAATTGCCTTTAGCCCCTCCACAAATGTCACCAGAAATGACTTGCTAGCCCACACTGGATATCGTCTTTGTTTCTTTAAAGAGTTTTCTTTAGGAAGTGAATATTTCATTACTGTCGATATTAAGTTGAAAAGTTTATCTTCATCTTGAATACTCTTCAGCAGAAGGCAGAGGCTCCTTCCTCTGAAACATTTTTTTTTTCTCTCTCTCTCATTTAGAAATACACTCACTCTTTTTCAGTACACCCCTTTCTGCTCTTGGACAATTTGTCTTTCAAGTGTCAATAAGAATCATTTATTTTCCAGAAGACGTTCATGGTTGTAGGGAAACTGTTACCTCTTCCCTAGCGTACATATTCCACCAAAGCAATTCATTAACAGTTCATCTTCATAACGGCACCATCAGATGCATGAGGAAGTTCACCTAGTTTTGTATGCAGCTGGAAGCCCAGTTAGCAGAGGGCTTTTAATATGGAAAGGGACACTGTGTTTTCTGGTGGGCAGTCATTTGGCCAGTACTCTCCGCAGAGGTGCAGCAATTAGTATGCACTCCTGAGCTCTCCATCCTCTTGTGCCTACAGAAACCTGGCCACCTGCCTGTTGCTGTGTCTGACGTTCTGTTCCTTTTTAACTCACTCCTCCATCCCTTGCCCAGAGCAGTAAACTTTAAAAATTATCAAACTATATATATACATATATTCTACATGTTTTTTAGTGATTTTTAGTATACACCGCATTTTCTTGGCCACTAGCTAATTTAGTTTTCATCACAACCCTATGAGGTAGATGCTGTGATTCTTACTTTAAAGATGAGGAAATTGATGCACACAGAATTTTCCGAAGGTTGCATCAACCAGTAAGTCCAGGCGCTGAGGCACCACACAGTGGTGTTTAAGTTGATAGTCTTTTGTCTCTGGACCTGAGCATAGCCCACTGATACCTCTTCCAGTTCTTCCAGAGAACATTGCACCCATAAGAAAACACATTTCCTTCCTTCATAAAACAAAGCTAAGGAGAACATCAACATCCAGTCTTCTTATATTCCTCAGGATCTGTTCTGTTATAGATAATTTGAGTTTCTATTTTCTTCAAGATAATTTGAGTATCTTAAATAAGCCTGTTTCCTCTGGCTTCCAGGTCTAGAAATGTGTCACACCAAAGTGTTTAGGCTTGTGCTTTATAATATACTTTACTTGAAACTTTGCAAATGTAATTTCTCTTGTGGTGGAAATTACTTCAAATTTCAAGAGAAAACAACATTCTAGGGTTTAGACTTTATGTCAAATAAAGAAGAAGAATATTCTGAGGGCTAAAGATGCCTAGGATTATCTTTCATTTTAGAGTTAAAAAACCAAAAACAGTCTGGGCGCGGTGGCTAATGCCTGTAATCCCAGCACTTTGGGAGACCAAGGCAGGTGGATCACGAGGTCAAGAGATCGAGATCATCCTGGCCGACATGGTGAAACCCCATCTCTACTAAAAATACAAAAATTAGCTGGGCAGGCTGGTGTGCACCTGTAGTCCCAGCTACTTGGGAGGCTGAGGCAGGAGAATGGCGCGAACCCGGGAGACAGAGGTTGCAGTGAGCCGAGATTGCGCCACTGCACTCCAGCCTGGCGACAGAGAGAGACGCTGTCTCAAAAATAAGTAGATAAAAATAAATAAATAAATAAATAATAATAATAATAATAAACAAAAGCAAACAGGAGCTAAAAAGCAACCCTAGGTGACCTGAAAGTAATATCTTTAAGTGCGAAATGAGACAGGAGCCAAAGGAAGAAAGAGGCTTTTGGAGGGAGAAGGAAGGAAAGGTGAGAAAGTGCCCTTCAGGGAATGTTCACCTAAATGACTGCCTCAGAAAGGCTTTGAGGAGGAAACTCCTGGAGAGCACTGGGACAGGACAGGAGGCCGGGCTCTCACCGGCCTTGGGCTAGCTGCTTACCTGCTCTAGCCTCGGTTTTTATACCTGTAAAATAGGACTGGTCTTTCTTACCCCTACCAGACTCACAGAGCTCTCATGAAGATCAGTGGGGATAATCCATATGAACATGTTTTGAGAAGATACAGTTCTGGCAAAGTGTGAGCTGCTATTATCTAAATAAAGGTAGGAAGAGCCAGGGCCTTAGCAGTTAACCAATTGAATAAATACTACCCCATAAAAATGAGGTCATCTCTTGCCATTCAGTTATACCAAAAGGAATATGTACTTTTTTTTATTTTCTTTTTTTTAGACAGAGTCTTGCCCTGTTGCCAGGCTGGAGTGCAGTGGCGTGATCTCAGCTCACTGCAACCTCTGCCTCCCGGGTTCAAGTGATTCTCCTGCCTCAGTCTCCTGAGTAGCTGGGGCTGCCAGTGCATGCCACCACGCCCAGCTAATTGTTGTATTTTTTTTTTTTTTTTTGGAGACAGAGTCTCGCTCTGTCGCCCAGGCTGGAGTGCGGTGGCCGGATCTCAGCTCACTGCAAGCTCCGCCTCCCGGGTTTATGCCATTCTCCTGCCTCAGCCTCCCAAGTAGCTGGGACTACAGGCGCCCGCCACCTCGCCCGGCTAGTTTTTTGTATTTTTTAGTAGAGATGGGGTTTCACCGTGTTGGCCAGGATGGTCTCGATCTCTTGACCTTGTGATCCACCTGCCTCGGCCTCCCAAAGTACTGGGATTATGGGCATGAGCCGCTGCACCTGGACAAGAATGTGTACTTTTATTCATAGGCCGTAGAGACTACTTATAAATGGAGAGGAGCTGGGTTATTTTCTACTTACCTTGTGCATACTTTGGGAAAACACCAACCTTTCAGCTTCCTTGTTTGTGAAGTGTGAGTATGAGAATGCCTGGGAGCACAAATTTCTTTGAGTCGTGACGTTTTGTATTTCTATTTTGAAGGAATTTACAACCATTTCCTTATACCATGACTGAGCAAAGGTATCATATGGCTTAATTGATTCTAACATTGCTCTTTAGTTACACCTTAACACAATCAATCTTTTGGGGAAGTGTTTTGTTCCAGTGAGACTTAAAAATTAATATCCCCTGATATTTTTCCCTAGGCCTTAGCAAATAAGACCAAAAAAAAAAAAAAAAAAAAAACCCTTTGAATTCTTTTCTGATTATAAAGGTAACATATGTTTATTGTAAAATATTGCAATGACAAATAAGGATCTAAATAATGAAGTAAATATGCTTCATGAGTTTACCACCAGACATGTCAATAAGAAATGCAGGCTGGGCGCCGTGGCTCACGCCTGTAATCCCAGCACTTTGGGAGGCTGAGGTGTGCAGATTGCTTGAGCCCAGGAGTTTCAGACCAGCCGGGGCAACATAGTGAAACCCTGTCTACAAAAATACAAAAAAGGTGTCTGGGCGTGGTGATATGCACCTGTAGTCCCAGCTACTTGAGAGGCTCAGTGGGGAGGCTTGCTTTGGTCCAGGAGGTTGAGGCTGCAGTGAGCTGAGATCGTATCACTGCAGTCAAGCTGGGGGGATAGAGTGAGACTCTGTCTCAAAACAAACAAACAAACAAACAAAAACCTAAAATTCACTTTCTATTTTGCTCTATCTTCATACTTATCTATACTTTTGAGATTATTTGCATCTAATTTATCTGTGTCATGGAAATACGAGGTAGTGGTATTACACAGCATGGTGCAACTGTATTTCTTTCCATTTCTTCCCAACTCCTAACTCAGTGACATCACATTAGTAGCTTGAAATAAATAATGTTGGTGACATTTATGCCACAGAAATCTGTAAATACTACAACGGGACTTCCACCCTGGCCCACCGGAAGGCCAGCTGTTAAATATTTACCAGGACATCATTGAACATATTATTGCCTCATAATCTCCCTTTGTCCCCCTACATGTTAAAAAACAATATGAATATTGTTTTTGGATATCATCCATTTGTTTGCATC